AGCTACTTATTACCCTTATATATAACACTAAAACTATAGCAATTTTGAAAGTCATAAATAAATAAATAAAATAATAGTAAAATAATAAATAAATAAAAATGCACTAACATAACTTTCGTGTATACCAAGTCAAAAGGAAAACAAATACACAATTTTGTGTATTACAAAAAAATTAAACTAAATACTACTCCCCCTTCCCATATTAGTTGATCATCTTACTAAAAATAGTTGTCTCATATTAGTTGTCCACCTTACTAAATCAAGAAAACATTAATCAAAATTTTCATATATTATCCATTAATTCTTTTTTAAAGTGTTCACATTTGTTTGTAAAATTCACAAGAAGTTTTTAAGGAGTGAATTAGTAAAATTATCTTCTTCTTTGTGATTTCTTAATATACGTGTAAAAAGGAAAATGATCAAATAATATGGATCGAAGTCACGGAGAGAATATTTAAAAACTAAACATATATCCTAAATTATTGACAATTTAAAACAATTTTAAATAATTCTCAAATACAAACATAAAAAGAAAACGTAACTAACAAATTTAGAATATTACTATTGTTATTTCATATGAACTAAAAGTCTAGAACTATAATAGTCTACATTTATTAGTTAATTTTAAAAAGGAAACAAAAAAGAACAAAAAGTTAAGGCTAAACTAACGTTCGAACTCATGTTCACGGGGTGAATCTGAACCCATACACCACTGATCCACACCTTTCCATTGTTTATAGACTAGGTTCCTTTTCTTTATATACACAACTTTACAAATAATGTATATATGTACAATACAAAAAATTTCGACGAGTCCGCCTCTGATCTTGATGTATATGAACACCAAAGATTAAGTGGTGTGACTCAAAGAATACTTATATTTGAGTGGACGTGAAAAAGAATCGACATGAACTTTGTTGTAAGATTACCACAAACCTTGAAAAAGTTTGAAGAATTTCTTGTACAAAATCAAATTAATTCATAAGTGGCTTCCTTTGGCACAAATCAGGCAAAAGGATTACAAGGACTAAAAGGTCTGTGACATGGAATTCATGAAGGGTGAGTGGATATTGCTAACAGTCTCACATAGTAAATGACCAAAATAGTCCTTAGTGCATGGGTAATGTTTTATTTTGGTCCTTAATATATTTCACTTAATTGAAATGATCCTTAATGTATAACAAAAATGTTCATTTCAGTCCTTAATCTAGTCCGTTTGATTGAAATGGTCCTAAATGTATAGAATTGTCAAAAAGGGTCAATCCAGCCCCACCTGGCCCAAGCCTCGTGGGCCGAGGAATTTGATGGGTTAGGGCGAGCTAGCCCTTCATTGGGAAGGGCCTGAAAATGCTCAACCCAACCCTTAAAGGGTTACGGGTTGGGGCGGGCTAACCCTTTCTTTTTTCTTTCTTTCTTTTTTTCTTTTCAAACTTAAAATTCTATGATATCAAGAAAATGAGAAGATTTTCAAATCAGATATGGTAAATAATAGTGTTGTTTCAATAACACTAGCAAAAAATCTATTGTGATTAGCAGGTATGTAGGATATTAGATATGCGAGATACATGTATCTGATGTGATGCATCCCAGATACGCGAGTGAGATGAGAGAGTAGAGAGATGAGAGGGAGGCGAGGGCGTGGGATTCATCATTGTATCCTAGATACATGCGAATTCATTTGGATACAGTGTATCTAGAACAAATTACTCCTAATTTTGAGTCCATATATCCCGAGATACATGTAGCTTGACACACCAAAATCTAGTAAGTTTCATATTATTACAACATAATGTGCATCTAAGTAATTATCTCATACACTAGTGAAATTTCTATAAGTTACTCTTAAATAAATAGTTTTGGTCCATGAGCCGATCCTAGCCCGACCCCGATCAAGCCTCAAGGGCAAAAGCTTATATGGGCCAAGTTTATAAGCCCTGATTTTAAATGAGCTTGAAAAATTCTATTCCAACCCTACCCCAATAACGGGTTGGGTTGGGTTGGCCCCATAGGCTAAGCCCATTTTTACGGCTCTATTAATGTATAACAAAAGATGTCTATTTTGACCCTTTACTTTAAACCTAACAGACTTATAAAAAAAAAGTGTTAAATTTAACTACTGACACTATGTGGCTAACAAAATTCACTATTATTATCTTCTTTGTTAGCTCCAATCGAAGAATTCCCTAATACCTAACACCATTTTCTCTTTCTCCTATGAAATTTATCATTTTCTCTTTCCTAAAATATTTTTAAGTTGACCTAATATCCATTTATGTTTCTAAACAAGAGAATTTTTTATTTTATTAGAGAAGGTAAAGACAAATAGATTTTGATGGAATTTTTCTTTGGAGCTAACAAAGATGGCAATGATAGTGGTTTTTCTTAGTAACATGAAATTCATAGTTAAATACTATAACACTTTTATTTTTGAATGATCAAAATAAACACCTTTTATTATACATTAAAAACTGTTTCAGTCAAGTAAAATATATTACAGGACCAAAATAAAACATACGTAAAGATATATATATATATATATATATATATATATATATATATATATATATATATATATTACCCTTATGTAGAAATGAGACTTAAAAAGGACCAACACTGCATTATTTCATTGTACTAAACGCAGTACTAATTGTACATTTTAGAAAGGACCAACACTGCATCTTTGTATTGTACTAATGGTAGTACTAATTGTACATCAATATAATAAATAAAGCCACTTTCTCTAGAACTTTCTTCCTATGTGTGAACAATTTCTAACCCTAATTTCTCGCCTCCTTCGTAAAGTCCGACTATTCTCTCTACTCTTCCTTCTACTTCTCATCTCTTCAATGGCGAATCCGTCTGCTCCTTGTTTTTTCCTATTTTTCTAGACACTTTAAAGCTGTCTCTCAAGCTTTCTTGAAGATCTCTGTTTGTTTCCGACGAACTGCGCAACTGCTTCTTCATGCTTTAAGTTTCTGTCCTCCTTGGTAAAGTCTCTGTATTCTGTCAACTCTTTCTTGTACTTCTGACCTCTTCAATGGCGAATCCATCTGCTAATTAGTGTTTTCTGTTTGTCTACAGAGTTAAAATCTGTCTGTGAAGCTTTCGTCAACATTTCTCTTTGTTTCGGAAGATCTGCGCAGGTATTTCTTCGTCGTTTAAGTGAAATTTACAGCTTTGCTCCATCATTTCCTCTTTCTCCTATTCCTAATTTGTATTTTGTTTTCCTCTTTCTCCGATTCCTAATTTCTCTTTTGTCGAGCATATTAAGCCATATTATACTCTATCTATGTATGTGTTGCAAACTTCTGCTCAATAATTGCATGCATTTGTCTGTTGCACTGTCGTCACCATCGAACCACCACAGTCCCTACTTGGTCATAACAATTTTACATTAAATTTGTCAATATGTCGTTAACACTGCTGATAATTGTTAAAGTATGTGTTAATTAAGGTACATTTATCTTCATAAATTCCACCTGCATATTTACAGATAAACTCGAGAGAGAGACGCATGTCAAAATAAAATGTTTGACAAATATTTGGGATATGTAGATACATTGTTTGTTGCAAAAATCTATTATAGAAGATGAAATTGTTACATCTTTTGTACTTACTGTGTGTCAATATTCCCTGTGCTTAACAGGATGGGAATGTATTACCTGCTCTACATTGTTCTTCTGATGTTACCCGCTTTGATTGCTTTCATCAATAGGTTAGACTATTTGGATGCAATATTTCTGCTGGTTCAATCACATTATACCCAGAATACCACCTCAATTTCCCTTGTTAAACATACTGTCATTTGTCAGATATGTTGTATCCCCGCATGTTCGGTATTCAGAGCTTGTATATGTCTTCGCTTTTTTCCCCCTAAATACTTGTCCAAACAAATTCCTTAGTAAAACCAAAGAAAATATTTCATGTAGTATAATTAATGAGTCTTTCCATTTGTCCCATATGTATTTGTAACTTATTTCATGTTGAATTTCCTGAAATTAAATATTCGTAAATACTTACTTTATTTCACAGGTAATTGGCTGCAACTCAACGCTACAAATACCAGTGATACAGAACAGCCTGCTGGCTTCGCAACAGCCTCTTCATTATCGCCACCTTAGAGGGATTGGTTCAAATGCTGACCCAAGCTATATATACAGGCTAGCCACTCCACCAGATTCACAGACATCGCAGGCGTGATCGCAGGTACCTTATATGTTTTGTCCCATCATCTATACACTTTTATACACCCAAGAGGTATTCTCTCATATTCTACTTCACCTGTAACAAAAACTTCTGCAATACACTCAGAATTCTTATCTTAACCATCTGTACTATTCACTGCAGTAGGAAACTCTCTCATAATGGTAGTAGGATGAATTTTTCCTACTTCATTTCTACTCCTAATTTAGTACTTCTCTTATTAATTTACTTACCGGTGTTTGCACATGACTTTTACTTCAACTCTTTTACTTATCGTTTGGCCTTACTTCACTTTTCCGGTTTTCAGGATACTCCAAATTGTCATTGGGTATTAAAAATCATTACATGTTCCACATATTTCATGTAATATATTTAATAGTTCGTTTCAGCTGTTCCATGTGTAAGTTCTTCCATGTGTAGTTGTAACTTCGTTCATGTTCAAATCCCTTAGATTGAATGCTCCTAAATACTAAATCCCTTTCATAGGAGATTCCCTGCAACTGGAAAATAAAAATACCACTCATACACAACAGCCTGCAGGGTTTGCAGGAGCCTCTTCATTATCACCAACTTACAGGGATTGCTTCAACTTCGCACACAAACTCTATATACATGCTAGCCACTCGACAACATTCACATACATCCCACACGTGATCGCAGGTATCTTATATGTCTTCGCCCATGATCTATACAATTTGATACAACCACCAGCTATTCTCTCATATTTTACTTTGCCTATAACAACAAATTTTCAAATATAGTCAGAATTGTTATCTCGCCCATTAGTTCTACTTTCAATGGGACATAACATAAGTGAATTTAAAGATATATTTGGAAATGTTAGCTTCTCTAAAACAACTAATGAGGCAAAAGAAATATATTTCGAAAGAAATATAATAGTCTCTGAAAAAGATATACATCTTCAAAGCAAATTAAATGTTGAACAAAAAAGGGCATATGACATAATTCTTGAAAGAGTATATTCCAATAAATCAGGAGCTTTTTTCATTGATGGTCCTGGTGGAACAGGAAAAACTTTCCTTTATCGAGCTTTGTTGGCCGCTATAAGAACAAAAGGATACATAGCTTTAGCAACTGCAAGTTCTGCTGTCGCAGCTTCAATACTTCCAGGAGGACGAATAGCTCATTCACGTTTCAAAATTCCTATTGACATCGATGAAAATTTCACTTGCAATATTAGTAAACAATGTTCATTATCGACTCTAATTCAAGATTCAAAGTTAATTGTTTGGGATGCAGTCTCAATGGCAAAAAAAAACACCATTGAAGCTCTTGATACACTTTTAAAAGATCTTATGAATACAAAAACACTTTTTGGTGGAAAAGTTGTAGTTTTTGGGGGAGATTTTAGACAAACACTTCCTGTTGTTCGTAATGGGAAAAAAGAAGATTTTATTGGTCAAAGTTTATTATACTCCCATATTTGGAATCATCTCGAAAAATTGTGCTTATCTGAAAACATGCGTGCAAAACAAGATCCAGCATTTTGTGCATTTTAATGAGAATTGGAAATGGACAAGAAAAAACTAACAACTACAACAAAATTGAAATTCCCAATAATTTTGTCATTCCCTTTACACATGAAATAGAATCTTTGAATCTTTTGTTTAATGTAACTTATCCTGATTTCCGTACATTCTATTCTAATCCATCCTTTATAACTTCCCGTATTATTTTGACAACAAAAAATGATTTTGTTCATGAAATAAATGACATGCTTATACATAGATTTCCCGATGATGCTACAGTCTATATAGCTATTGATGAAACAATAGAACCAAATGATCAATGCCAATTTGAAGATTTCTTGCACACCTTACATCCTGCTAATTTACCACCTTATAGATTAACTTTGAAAAAAAAATGTCCAGTTATATTATTAAGAAACTTAAATCCTACTGAAGGTTTATGCAATGGTACATGATTGACATGTCATGATTTTAAGTCACATGTTATCAGTGCTACTATTTCCAATGGTGATTTTAAAAATAAACACGTTTTTATTTCAAAGATACCATTACTGGCATCACAAGATGAAAAGCTACCAGTTCCCTTCAAAAGAACACAATTTCCAATAAGGTTATGTTTTGCTATGACTATAAACAAAGCTCAAGGTCAAACATTAGATTTTGTTGGAATCTATCTGCGCGAACCAGTTTTTTCGCATGGACAACTTTATGTTGCTTTATCTCGAGCAAATGTTCAGACAACATAAAAATATTAATACGCCCGCCTACAGCTGAGGATACAAATGATCATTCTACATATAATGTAGTTTATGACGAAATTATTCGAAAAGCATTCTCATGATACTTTTAAAAACAAGAAATGTAACAACTAACCACCCTCATGCTACACATTCTTAAATTTCAGCTTATTTTACTTTAGATGGTTTTTTTAAAGATAAGTAACAATTAATACTTGATATTACTTTGTTGTTAATTTCACCTCTATTTACATTTGATGATTTGAAGGTCTCACTAATTTCACAACTATACATTTCTCTGGGTTTTATGTATTTTTCTCATCAGTTTATTTTATCTATGTTCTAACTTCGTTTTGCCCTTGGTCCATTGTATTTTCCTGTAGGTTTTTTTTCATACTTCCAACAATCTGCTCACCATAGAAGTAACTGTGCAATTGAAGAACGATTTTGCTATTGGAGGAACACTACATTCAGTTTATCTATATCTAAACATTAAGCTTTAAAACACAACAATTGTTGATGAGGACAGGTACCCCCACATCGTCATTTCTTTTAATTCTTTCTCTTTTGTCTTTGTTCTTCTTCTTTTTTGTTCTTCATTGCATCTGCGAAAAACACCTGTGGACAAAAATTCAAAATCTTAAGACAGATTTTGAATCTGTAAAAACTTAGACAGATTTAGCAAAAATCCTTTTAATAAAAAACTCCATCGACACCACAAGCTTTACTATTCACTTCTACAACATCATCATCCTTCGCTTCCAAATCTACTAGCATTTTTTGGATCACTCAGACATCCACAGCACGATTTTTAGCAGCTTCTTCCTCCTGAAGTGATACTCTACTTTCCAACTCTTTTAACTTTTCCAAGCATCATTTCTGTTTTGCCTCAAATTTAGCTGTTCCATTTTTTTCCTCCTGATTTTTCCTCTACATATCCTTCAATCGATTCTCCATTGATTAAAGGATATGCAAAGGAAAAATCAACAACTAAAAAAGGAAGAAGCTGAAGTTGAGGCAAAACTAAACATGCATTAGGAAAAGTTCAAACAGTTTGAAAGTACAGTATTACTTTAGGAGAAAGAAGCTGCTAAAAATCGTGTTGTGCATGTCTCACTGATCCAAAAAATGCTACAACATTTGGAAGCCAAAGATAATGATATTGTAGAAGTGAATACTAAAGTTTCTACTGCCGATGCACATCTTCAACAAAAGCAATTGTCACCAGCTGCGCCTCCATTAGTTCATTCAACTGCAAATGCAAATGGAAATGCCAGTGGTAAATGAAGAGATGAAGGTATTATTATGCTTATATCTGTCTTGTTCACTTTTTTTTTTTATAGTTATGTACTCAATTTCTGTGTGATTTTCAATTAAGGAGTTACAATTATTAACTCATGATTTTTCTGCTATGCCTAAGCTTTACTTATCTATACATGCATGTTGCAAGTTTTGCTTGCCTTTGGACCTAAACCTAAACCTTTAGCCAAACAATTCCTGCATTACATTTTACGGTAAAAACAAAATGTTAATCCTATACTATTTTTCCTACCATACTAACCAGATGACACACTATTTCATATGTGTGTCTCTGTGTGTGTGTCTGTGTGTGTATATATATATATATAGAGAGAGAGAGGGAGAGTATATATATATATATATATATATATATATATATATATATATATATACATAGATAGATAGATAGATATATATTTTTCCCCTTATTTAGAAAGAACAATTAAACTAGAACTGTCTTATTCAAAATTCATGCTGTTTTAGTTGCCAATCAATTAATACCAAAAAACAGGCACAATCATGCTTCGCTTTAGACCTAAACCTAACTCTTAAGTATAGCTCTTGAACTGGGAATGTGGTAGACACTGATATGGTAATTGCATGCAGTCGAAGTGCTTTGTATTCCTTTGTTTTTCATTTCAAAGTCTACGATTAACATGGTCACATGACTGTAGTTGCAGGCAGTAGTAACACAGACTTCATTTCTACAAAAATGAATCTGCTTAATTCTCCTGATGTCCGGACATTGCATCCCATGCCTTTTGCTGGTGGTTCTGCTCAAATGAATACCAATGTTGAATTCCCTTAAATTGAATATTCCTAAATACTAAATCCCTTTCATAGGAGATTCCGTGCAACTGGAAGATAAAAATACCACTCATACACAACAGCCTGCAGGGTCTGCAGCAGCCTCTGCATTATCACCAGCTTACAGGGATTGCTTCAACTGTCGACGCAAACTCTATATACAACCTAGGCAGTCCACAACATTCACAGACATCCCACACGTGATCACATGTATCTTATATGTCTTCTCCCATGATCTATACAATTTCATACAAGCACAAGCTATTCTCTCATAGTTTACTTTGCCTGTAACAAAAAATTTTCAAATACAGTCAAAATTGTTATCTCACCCATTGGTAGTATTCACTCCAGTAGGAAAGTCTCTCATAATGCTACTAGCACCAATTTATAGTACTTTCTTTCTTCTGCTAATTTACTACTTCTCTTACTGATTTATTTTCCACTCTTTGCACATCACTTTTCATTCAAGTGTTTTAATTATCGTTTAAAGTTTGTCTGACTTTCTGTTTTTCCAAGATAGTCCAAATTCTTAATGACTATTCAAACTCATTAACTGCTAGGCCTAGCATTCTAGGGAAATACTTGCTTCTAAGCTTATCCTTACTTTGTTTCATTCGCTTATCATTTCTTCTTTCACAATTAAATATCTTTAAAATATAAAATCCAATTACATATTATACTTACATAACAGCAAAAAAAGTAAATCACAAAAAAAAGCAGTGCAGCTAGGGAGATTTCTTTGGTAATAATTTCGGTTACTTTCATTTTTGCAGTAGTTTTACTTCCGCTGCTTTGACCTGTTTCCAGGTTAACAATGAGGTACAACAAAGAATTGAACATGCAAATAAAGTGTTTGGTCAAAGTCTTCATCCTCGGTATCACTTCTATTTTGCCTTTTACGTTTCCACATCATTTAAACATTGCAACAACTCAAGGCTCTCTTCTATTCAGACCTATTTGTTACCTCAATTGCAGCTGCCACCTGTTATTTGTTTCTTCCTCTGCATCTCTGAATATGCAAAGCTTCTTTGGAGTTCATCGATCTTCCAAGCTAACAAAGGTATGCTAGCTGCCTTTAATCTGCTCATTTTCCTCACTTTCCTAGACAATAGTTGGATCTCTGTTTCCTCTCTTGTAGTTCTTATGAAATTAAATGACTTCTGAATTGTACACACTACAATCAATGACATAGACATATTACAAATTCATCAACTCAAAGCAATTGTTCTGATGAGAAAAATTTATAGCTTATTAGGAGTAAATTGCCTACTAAGTTCGTCTCCTTTTACATAACCAAATCTTATTGTATATTTAGTCATTCTCTTCTACTCTCTATATTCATTTCAATGGGAACAAAACGGCTCTTATCAAATGTAATTATACCTAAATGCGTTATATGATATAACGGTAATACCCTCTAAACAAATCAATGTATTATACTGTAGGAGTTCCCTGTACTAATGCGCAAATGTCAGTCAATTTTTTCGTTAGTTGCCTTAGTTAGTATTGATTTGCAGTATATATGTCGTGTCAAACTAGAGGAAAACTCCACTCTATGTCTTACTGCTTCTGGGATTTCTACATTGCTCATGTGCATAACAAATATGTACTGAATAGGTCAATCAAAGATAATTCAACAGGAAAGAACAACTTCTTCATTTAAAGAATAAAGTACAGTAGTTTAGCTGAAAGAAGGAGACAATCTTCTTTCTCCAGGTCCTCTACACTAAAGAGACAGTTAACTTTGGGAATTATCCAAAGATCCAACAACTTTACCCAATGTATTAACCACATATATGGTTGACCCTCAGACACGGCTGCTATTTGCGCTTTTACCACATATGTGCCTTTTAATATATGCTCTACTCTTGGTAGGCTGTCATTTGACCTTGTAGTTAATTACAATGGTCTTAAGAATGCAATCTTCATTTCAATCTTCGCTTTTCCATACTTTTAACTAATACACTGCATACTTGCTACAACTTATGTAGGATTTTCAAACTCACACTTCTTCAGCTGCCGAAATAGAGAATAAACTTCTGACTGACAAACGTAAGTTTCTGCATTTTCCTGCTCTATACTTTTTTAAGCTCTGTTACTGTTCTGCTGTATTCTTCAGTCTACATTGTACCATGTTATTCTGTGTTGACTGACCCTAATTGAACACGAAGATATTACCTTCAATAA